TGGAACTCACACTGAAGTGGCTGCCGCCAGCTTGCAGTGCTGCGTCCTAACCCGTTGCACCACCAGGGAGGGCCCAAATCTGTCCACTTTTATTAAGCACTCTCAGAATCGGAACCCAGATTTTTGATAACATATTAAACAATTTCTGTTACTTCTAATTGGAATTTTCTTCCTTTCTCTGATCCTGCAGTTTATCTTCTAGGCCATTGAACTCAAGTCTTATTTATTAGGTGAACAACCACAGAGAGTGAAACATGGGGTAAATTGTTAACTTTGTCATAGTAAAACCTTAGGAAGAAAAGACTTGGGTGGCAGTGTGCCAGAGGGCACAGAGGGCAGGTTTACCCAGGTCCTCTGCCCCCTTCCACGTGCCCCTGCTGGCTCTCGGTCTGTCCTCGCATTCATACATGCTTTCTGGGGAAATGTGCAGGCCCAACTTGCACATTTCTCATACTACAATAAAACATCTACCGATTTAGACCAAATTGATCTTTATCAGCCTCAATCTGTAGGCAGCCTGTAGGCAGTTTCAAGTAAAAAGAGTTTTTTTATTTTTTCCAAAAAGTCACAGGAAGGCTGTAAGTTTCAGCTTGAACATGAAGTTTTCAGTATTTCAGTGTTTTTCTCTGCTTAAAATTGCTCAGCACCTTCCAGAGCAGCTGTCCCGCCTTCTGGCCTGGGGAGTCCTCATCTTCAGATTGCTGAAGAGTTGCCTCTTCCTGCCACACTGCCCCTCCCCCAGCCTGACCACCAGAGCACATTTGTGGGTTGAAGACCTGACTAATCTCACCACTTTAACCCCTTAGCTGCCACGTGTCTACTAGGGCAATTGGATGGAGTCTCACTTCCTAGTAACCTCCCAACCTTCATCACCTCCAGGAAGTCTGATGTCTGCAAACTGCTCTCTAACACCCTTTTCCAAGTCAGTTGATCCTCACGTATAAGCACCTCAGCCAGGACTGACTGTATGAGATGGGTTTGCTCAGATCACAGAATGGCAGGAAGAGAGACTGCTGGGCCTCACGAGGGGTCAGGAGCCTCTCTCCAGGCCACAGCCGTAGAAACAGCCAGTTCCATCCATGTCTTGTGTCTCATCTGACTTTCAAAATTCCTCTTGGCCTAACCTAGGACAGGCTTGGATCAATCACTCTTGGATCAAACAAGTCATGGGGGATGTGGGAAAAGGTCAACTTAACAACCATAATGCACCTCCTGTGGGTGTCTGGAGCAGTGCCAACAGTGGACATGCAGATCCTTCCCACTTGGGCTGCACTTTGGCCATCAGAGTGCTCTTGCTTCCAGACCACTCGCTCCTCACCTGCCCAGTTTCTCCCAGCCCCTCTCCCTTGCCCATTCCCCAGAGTGCTTCTCAGAGGGGCAACTTCCTGTTTTGGGGATCCTGTCTAGCCCTACCTCCTTCAGAAGTCTCTTCTGAACACTTAACTGACAATTACCACATACACATAATATATATGGAGAGTGTGTATATGTATAATCTCCATGTGGTAAAACCCATTATACCATGTGGTATATGTGGAGGGTGTGAGTAAACACATATGTATTATCCCAACCTCTTTTCCTGTGCTACATATTGTGTCCTGCTATTACTCAGAGTCAGGAGGGGATAGCCCAGGTAATAAAGGGGAACTCTATTTCAGATGCTCTGTCCTATGGATTCCTAGGGATAGAAATGGCACCCTTGCATCGATCAATTCCTAAGGATGTAAGTGCCATCCCTTAGAATTTTGGTTGGACAAGGTCAGATGGCAGTAATACTCCCCTCCCACCTACCACAATAGGCATATTCTTTGCAAAAAGGATGACAAGACTGGGCTAACGGAGCTCTGGCATTGGCCCACCACCCCCTAGTGTGCACATTTGTCATTGCAGGTTTAGCTGGTTAGCAAGTAGGGCTGAGTGGAAGATTGGGGCAAATTTGCTATGTTATTGTAAGCTCATAGATGATGGACAGAAATTAGTTTTTTTTTAAAGAAATGTGAAGATTTTAGAATTTTAGCTCTGGAATTTCAAGAAGATCTCAGATGCTCAAGCTGGGAGCGGCTTATTTTTTTAAAAATTATTATTATTATTATTATTTAAAGCAGAGTATGATGCTTGACAAAAAAGGAGGAGCAGAGAAATCTATGGTGAGACTGAGGTACATTCAAGCTCTGCCACTGTCAAGGTCACCAAAGCTTCCCTGGTCGGTCCCTGGTTCCCGGCAGTGCCCTGCTGTGCCAAGGTGCCTGCCACACTGGACTCGCATGCCTGACACCCCTCATTCCTACCCTCTGCTTCTTGGAAAAGTTGTCACAAACTAGTAGAAACATCGGTGCATGCCACAGCCCTCAAGCAGAAGCCCAATGTGCACAGCTGCCTTCTAGCTTTCCACATCTACATCTTGTTGCCTGGAGAGTTTTCCCCAAAGCAGGGAAGGCTTCTCTGCTGGAGAAAGGCAGTGGGAAGCCTTTCACCACCAGAAGGCAAGAGGTGTGGCTGTGAATACCCTGCCTCCCCAGCCCCTGTGGGGGGCAGCTGAGGAGATTTATGTTAGCTTGCTGGGAATTTCTAGGTCACCTCCAGTGGAAGGCAGCTCATCAGATGCCCGTTGTATCTTCCTCTTCTGGTGTGATGTCCCCCATCTTTACGGGAGCTTCCTTTTCAAATGAACTCTTTGCTCTCAAAGCCTGCCTCAGGCGCTACTCTTATAGAAACCAACCTGATCAGAGCGTACTTAGCATACCTTTCCTGGTGTCTCTTTGGATTTTCTCTTTGCATTCAGGTTTTGTTAGAAACCTGGCCTCACCGGTATCAGTGGGTCTTTTTCCATATATGGTGGTGTGTTTTCTAGAAATGGCTCTTGTCTGTCTCATCACCATTTCCACTAGTCTATGTTCAAGTCTTAAGCTTGCTGACCACAGGAGGCTTGGTGTGTAGTAGAAGACAGAGGAAGAGACATGTCTGACCACAGTTGTGACCATTAGCCGCATTTAGCTATTGAAATCAAATTGAATAAAAATTTAAAATTTTGTTCCTCAGTCATACTAACCACATTTGGGTTCTCAGTAATTGCTAGTGGTGAGCATGCTAGAAAATGAGACATGGGCCTGGGAACAAAATGGGCCACACTAAGCTCATTGTTTGACTATGTGGAGCTTCGTGTGGCTCACACAGCTCTTAAGGGGATGGGGAGTCTGAATAAGCGCTTTATTTACACTTTGGCTGAACACAAAAAAAGAGAAAGGGAAATTCAAGATTTCCCAGTCAAACTGAGACTGGTGTCAGTCACTTTAGTGTTCCTAGTTCACATCCCATGTTGTCCATGCAGGACAGGATTGAGCAAAGTGATTTTGATGTTTGTGAAGGGGAGAAAAGTCAGCCCAAGGATCAGAGCCCAAGGCTGAAGGGAGTGGAGAGCCAAGAGCAGGCACATCTCTTCTCCCAGCATTTAGTTTAGATGGGAATGCTTTGTGCTTTGTGATGGGAATGTTTTCTGGTCTTAATGTACAAGACTTTTCTCACTTGGGTTGAACTTAGGCTTTGCATATCTTATTTAGAAAGGATTTTGAACTCAGGCAGTGTCTAGTTCAGTCTGACTGTGAGCTCCCTGAGGGCAGGGGCTTAATTTTGGCTGCCCAGGACTTAGCTGAGAATACGGTAGATACTTAGCAAATGTGTGAAGAATGAATGAGTGACATGTGACTGATGAATAAATGAACATGTGAAACTTAACACCTAGTGAATGGTGAGAAATATACTCAGGCTCACAGCCAATGGGAGGTGAGTCCCTAGAATCATCCATCATGACCCACACCCACCCCCACCCCATCTTAAAAAACAAACCCATTTGGTCAACTTTGAATACCCTAATCTAATCTAATACTCTTAGATTAGTGTCTCCTTGGGCTATGGGGGGGGGGATGGGGGGATGTTAAGCGATGATCTAATCAGGTCATAGAATTACTTCTTGGCAGGCTGGATAGCACGTCTGATTAGCAGCTTAGCTTTTTTAATTTTTTAAAGTTTTGTTTATTTTTTGAATAGGTGACATGTTTCCATGGTTCAAAATCAAAAAGTACAAAAGTATATTCAGAGAAAGGTCATCCTCTTTCTCCTTTTCTCCCTAAAGACAACCATTGCTTTGGAATCTCCCAAGCACAATGATGTGTGTGTGTGTGTGTGTGTGTGTGTGTCCTCCTTCTCGGCCTCCTCCTCTTCCTCCCCCCTCCTCCTCCTTAGTTCATGTTGCCCTGCATTTTGGCCTTTGCTTTCTTCCGTCAACCATGTATCACTCCTGGTGCTTTGACTCTTCCTTCACGCCTCCCTTGGCCAGATTCTTCGCTGGGCTTCTGGGCCTCTCTCCTTACCTCCACACTTGCATGTGTCTCCTCACTGACCTCCTGCATGGTTCGGGCCTTCTACCCATCCTCTGTGTGTGTCTGGAGTTACGTAACTTATGCACATTAAAAATACCATGCTGCTCTTATTCCATTGAGTTATTAGTGGGAAATTTGGCCAAGAGGTGAGTAAGAATATTCAAAACAGGTATAATATGCCATAATTTTGCCTGGGAATACAGACCCATAATCTAAAAAAAAAATCTTAAGTAAGGAGCTGGGCAGATGAAGAGATAAAGTGATTTATTATCTTTTGTTAAGAGTGTTTTGTTTACATAAAGAGCTGACTGAAATTAAGTTTTAAAACATACAAAGTAGCAATTATCTAACATTCAGGTGTTTGGAATGCAAATGACTCTTCTGAGAACTAAAGAAAGCTCTGCTTTTCAGGGGTGAAGATAAAATGCCCAACCATGGAATTTCAGTAAGGACTGTGGGGTACACACACACATCTACCCTTGTGTGTGCATTTCAGTGTCTTCAAGAGCATGTCACTCTTAGACTGAAAGTTCAAAGCACTGATGTGGAGTTTAATGCAATTGGCTTGAAGTGTCTGATTCATCAACGCAATGGATTTTCTTTGGGCTGATTTCTGCATCTGACCTAAAATACAGCAGAGAGTTCCTGATCCCCTGTTGATGGGGATATAGAACTGGTTCTTTCTAGCTTCTCACTAGGAAGAAAGGGGATGTATTTGCCCAGGTTGGTGACCACACGCCTGTGGAAAAAGTGGCGCAGGTACTTCCGGAACCTCTCTCCCACAAAGGCATAGATCACCGGGTTGACGCAGCAATGTGTGTAGGCGATCACCTCAGTCACCTGCAAGGCCAGATCCAGCTGTTTGCTCTGCTCGCAGTTGTCCTCAAAGAAGATGTCTTGGTAAGTGGAAAGTAGGAGAATCAGATTGTAAGGTGTCCAGAAAATAAAAAAGACCACCATAATGACAAAAATGAGCCGGATGGCCTTGTACTTTTTTTTACTGGGGCCCCTCAACAGGGTTTTAATGATCCCTGTGTAGCAGACAGCCATAACAAGGAGAGGTAGAACAAGACCCAAAATATTCATTTTCAGAGCCTGCACACGCTTCCAGGTAATTTCCTTATCCACTGGGTAGAGAGGCATACAGTTAGTCTCTTCAAATTCCTCTATGGACATATGGAAGATCAGTTCGGGGAGGGCTGCTATCCCTGCCAGACCCCAGGTGATGAAACTGGTTATGATGCCAAAAAGGACAGTGCGGGCTCGAAGGGCTAGCACGGCGTGGACAATGGCCAGGTACCGGTCTATGGTCAGCAGGATGATGAAAAAGATCTCACCGTATAAGCCCGTGTAGTAAAGTCCTATGAGGAACTTACACATGCCATTGCCAAAAATCCACGTGTGCCACACAATATAGTGAATCCAGAATGGCACAGTGAATAGAAAGAGCAAGTCAGAAATGGCCAGATTGAGCAGGTAGATATTGGACATGATCCGGAGCCTCCTGTATTTTGTGAGGATCACTACCACCATCATGTTGCCCAACATGCCAACCCCAAACACCAGGGAGTAGAGTGGGGGAAGGAACTGGGCCCCCAGCATCTTGATGTTGACTTTTTCACACGGCATTGAATAGTCGTAGTCATAGGTTGTGAACTCCATTGTTCCTGTGCCTATGACAGAAGAAAGACAAAGCACCTGCCATTAGGCTTGATCATCCTTTGTGACCCACTGATTTAGTCATTTACACAACAAACCCATATGTGGTAAAAGCCTACCCATTCGGACCCTTGATGTGTATCAGAGGGTGTACAGCCTTCCTTAGGGGGAGGGTAGCAGAAAGCAAAATCTGAAGCTTTGCAAGTCAACATGACCCACTATGGGAAAAGAAGTAGAAATATTGTGAATGGCAGTAATGAACGGGGTTGTTGATTCTGAAAGCATTTGAAGGAAAACTTGCAAAGTGAAAAATTAAAACAGGTTGGGTATAATATAGTAATTATTATCATTGTATCTTTTCAGACAGTTTGTGTTTTCTGTTTTATACATGACTCTCAAAATTATTATGCCAAAACTAAATACTTTAATAATAATTATTATTATTACTATGAATAACTACCCTCCACAGCCCCATACCAATATGCTATTCATTATGGCTGATGAGAAAACTGAACCTTGAATAAATTTAGTGATTTGTCCAAAATCCTCTAACAAATAAATACAAAAGTTTAGGCACAATCTTTAGAATCTAGGTTCAATTCTCTCATCACTAGATCAAATGCAGTGATTTTAAAAATTTCATTGTTGAAGACTTAGCTAATAGAATAATCACATTTAAGTAGCACTGACCTGTTTTCTTCTCCTAATAATGTTGCGATAAGCCAGTCAAAAGCAAGCATCTTAGAGTTTCTTCTTCTTTTTAAAGATTTATTTCTTTATGCATACAGAACTGGGGTGCAAGCTAGAGGTGCAGGGGCAGTGAGAGGCTTCACCAGAGACAGAGCGGGGAGCAGAACAGACAGATCATTGAAGTACACTGCTGAGGGGAGCAGCGGGGAGGTCAGGAGAGGTCTGCCATGCTATGTGGGTAACCTCCGGGGCTGGGGATCGAACACATACTGAAGCGGCTGCAGCCAGCTTGCAGTACTGTGTCCTAACCCACTGTGCCACCAGGGAGGGCCCAGTTTCTTCTTAAAGGGTCTGAGCAGGAGTAGGCCAATGAGATTCTTATTAGATCTGATATTTGTAGAGCAGAATCTGTAGGAACAGTTCCTGCTTGTCTACAGATCACAGACTTCACTGGAGAAAAGGAATGGCAGCCATCAGAGGGGAAGGGTAATGGATTGGTCAGGTCTTTTGCATCACTAGCCTCTGGCTATCACCTGCGGTCTTAATCCTGTTCAAGCAGGAGCTGCTTGGGAGCTGCCCGGGGAAGCATGCCTGATTATGGCGCCTGCAGCAGGGTGTGGGCCCGCGTGAGTGTGCACAGCTGAGCCTGGAGTTCAGGGCTAGACGGACAGTGTCACTAAGAGACAAGGGCAGCTATGGAGGGTGGCTAGGAGAGAACCACAGCACAGCTACAGAAGTGGCGAGACAAAGAGAGAACAGCTGAGTCCAGAGGAAAAGTGTAAAGATTTGTGGGGGGCTGGGAGGCTCTGTTGCCTGCCTGCTTCCCAGCGTGTCCCCCAACCATGCCTGCTTCCTTGCATGCCAGCCTCTGCCTGGTTCCCTGAGAACACGAAAGCCTGGAAAATCCACCTACGGCTCCTTGACTCTCCTTTATCTGAGGGCTGAATCCACAGTGAAACTGCCAGGCACTTGCTGGCCCTGGAGAGTGTCATGAGGAGCAGTTCATCCCCACACGGCTTCCTCAGACTTTCTGCTGTCTTTTTCCTCTCTGAGGAAGGGACAAGTAGAAGGACATGAGTATGTGAGTCAATGGGCATTTCCCAAGGTGAGTCTGCAAAAGGCGACCATTAGCAGCAATGGTAAGGAATGGCCTCTGCTTCTTAGCAGAAGCTGAGAGCCAGGAGGTCAGCAACTTTTGGGGACCCTAATGCAAGTGAGAGTAGAAATGGGGGAAGCAGGAGTCATTTCTAGACTGTTCACCAGCTGGAGGACTTCGAGTAACCCTTAATTGTAAACCTCATTTCCTCACATTCAAAATAAGGATGAGAATATCACTTAGGACTGTGGTGAGACTCAAAAGAAAATGTACATGAAATCACATTTTAAAATTAAAAAACAAAACAGTGAAGTTGGTAAGAAGTAAAAGTGAAGGAAAAGCAATGTGAAGCTATGTCATGAAATTAGGGAAAAGTAGGGTTCTCTGGGAGAGAACTTGGGTCTACTGTTAAGTCTCTGTCCTGGTACATAATCCACCAGCTGGCAACACAGCTGGGCTTGTAACATGGAAAATGGAACTGAGATAAACTGATTTGTATGATCTTCTCATTATTCTTCCTAGTGGCATAATCCACAGCAGTTGAGGTTGATCATTAAATTGGTCAAATAATTATTTTAAGTTGCTTAATTAAAAACACCATAGGGGCCCTCCTTGGTGGTACAGTGGGTTAAAGTGCAGCATTATGAAGCTATTGCAACCACTTCAGTGTGAGCTTGATCTCAGGCCAGGGAGCTGACCCACATGGCGCAGCAGACCTCACCTGTCTCGTCTTCAGCAGTGTATTTTGTCAGTCTGTCTGTTCTGCTCCCCACTCTGTGTCTGGTGAATCCTCTCACCACCCCTGCACCTCTGGCCTGTATCCTAGTTCTGTGTGCTTAAATAAATAAATCTTTTAAAAAGAAACACCATAGGTTCAGTAAACATCCCCTCATCTCAATATTGAAGCAACATCTTTGTCATATATTCTTTACTGTTCCTATTCCAATTGTCTATTTTATATTCCACTTCAATTGATCTAATATTTCTATGCTAATTTTAAGCATGTGAGGAGATAGTGGGAGTTGGATTATCTCCCACAAAGATGACAGGTAGTTAAGAGATATTGGATAGATGTCAGACAGAGAGACTGAATTCCCGGCAAATTGAAGACAATCAAGGACCATTCTACTAGGGACTTAATTTGGCCACTTCATTGCCAGACAAAAAAGCATTGAGAGGAAACCATACCTAATAAAGCGGAGTTGAAGGCACTGAAGGCATTCACCCTGGAGGAAAAGACTCTTGGAGAAGAGACGAGATACTGGCTGTGTAGACAAGAGTCACCATCATGTGTTAACTCCCAGGGTTCAGCCCTCCCCACAGAACCAGCAGAAGGTGATACCAAGAGACAGTAATTCTCGACAGAGAATGTGCAGAAGCTGGACTATCCAACAATGAAGTGGGTGTCTTGGGAGCCCTGAGTGTCAGGACACTGTGGGAGAGGGTTCCCCCTGCAAGGAGCCAGTCGACTAGAGGAGCTTCTCACCCTGGTTGTCTGTGGGAGGACCAGAAGCTTTGGACCCCCCAACATCAGGGTGTACCCCTGAATAGTTAAATCATCATCTGGAGGCAGGACTGAGACCTCCATGGCTCCTTGAGCTCACCCAGTGACCATCAAACATAGCCTAGGTGGTCTGGGTGACATGAGGACCCCCTAAATGTTTGCTATCTCTGAGTCCTATATCCTCCAGCCTCCTTAAACTCAAGTGAGAAGAAAAGGGGGGTGATTTAGGAACAGGAGTAAGAATAACCTTAGTTTCATGTCATTCACTGTGACATAGTAAGAGTCAATTCAATCTTAGTCTTTAGAAATAGATGATCCAAAACAAGGATCTACCTGTCCGATGCTCTATCCACCTCTCCACCCAGCTAGTCCTCCTTTTATTCATTCAATTACTTATCCTTCTGCTACTCAGATTGCTTCCCACCTACACAAGTAAAGGAGCCCTTCCTACCCTCACTTTTTTATCTTTGTGCAGAAGAACTGGGGTGCTCTTCATAGAGGTGCCAGGTATGTGTGTGTGAGAGGACTCACCAGAGACAGAGTGGGGAGCAGTGCTTAAACACACTGCTGAGGGGAGCAGCAGATGAGACAGGAGAGGTCTGCTACGCCATGTGGGTCAGCTCCCTGGCCACGGATGCAACTCAGGCCATCTGCTTTTCTCAGACTATACTATATGCAGATTACACTATATACTATATGCTTTTCTCAGATTATAATTTTACTGACTATACATTTTGAATTTTCTATCTACATTTGAAGAGGATTAGCAGCAACCTAGAATATAGTACAGGCAAGGCTGATAAAGACCCATAAACACTGACTGTAGTTGGCAGAACTCAGAAGGTTTCATGTGAAAAATAAGTCTCCAAAATCATCTTAGTGTCTTTATGTTTTCCAGAATTTGTAGATCTTTGGACAAAGTTTTCATCTTTTAAATAAAGGATCAGTTTAGAAAATACTTAGTACCCTTATGATGGGATAGCTTTTCCCATAGGGGGTGGGTTACCTGAGTCTCAGAGAGCTGGAATTTGATGGTATTGGAGAAAAGTATATTGTCACCCAGGGAGAATTGTCTGAGGACCGCTAAGTTGTGTAAAAACAGACTGGATTGTCTTGACGGCCAGTGAGTTCCCTCCCTAGAAATACACCAGCAGAGCCTCTTAAGGTTGGAAATCATTTTTTCATGCAACCTGCTTCCTGGCTGCAGACAGCATGGGTGTCTCAGCTGTCAGTCATTATTGTTAGTTACTAGACCAAAGCTTATACCCGACCCACAGTGTGGTTAGTTCACTCTAAGTGACTTGGTTTCATCCAGCTGTCAGGTGATTTTTGGATATTTTTATCACCCTCCTTGCCCAAAGATAGATACACTCTAAATAGTTCAACAGCAAGTGTTCCTGATTTTAAGTATTTATATACAGGCTGATATGTTGCTCAGTTACAAGAGATGACCACAAAGAATATTTTCATGGGGGGAAGAAGGCGTTCACAGTAGCCAGATGTTCAGCTTTCTGGCCCTGCCTGGTGTTTCCAAATCCAGCATGTCAGAGAATGAGGACCACTGCCTCCTTCCTAACTGCCATGGTTGTAATTGTGGACATCATACTTATCTATCATTTTGCATTCTGATGGTCTACATTTTATATCCTACACCTAATTCCATGGGATCAAAAATTATTTGAAAATATGATTCATAACTACTACAACATACTC